TTTTATAAAATATGATTCACGACCGTAACGTGTATGTGTTTATAGAATAATTATCATTAAAATCACCAATACAAGCCTCTAAGTTCATATAATCCTTTTGAACGAGTTTTTCTGGAAATAGCCATATGCAATGGGATTATACGAACATCGACGGTTGTATTGATAATTATAATGATTATAATTCTGTAAATATATACTCGTCATGGTCGCGAATCATATTTTGTTAAATATACAACCTAACACTGACCTACAGTTTGCAAAAAACGTAAGAAAATTTGAATTTCGCGGGTTACTCTGGCGCTTATACTTTACAGGAAATTTTAGTTATTGTAATAGCATTGCTATTTTTTTTTAATAATGTATTCCATTATTCCGGTCTGCTTTGTGCGGTATTTTTAAGATAGTTAACTATTACGAAGCTTATTAACAGTGAGGCTAACAAGAACTGTCTTATAATTCGGGTAAAGGGGCTTCAGCTCAGTAACATTACACTTATATTTAGCACAGTGTAAAGATACTAAAGATACTACACGCATTAATTATTACACGTAACATATTTCAATAGGTTTTTTTATTTATTTGAAAATTAAATTAGAAAAAGGGAGACAAGTATATTGATAACATAATATGTATGTTATTACTATAAGACATTTGTTATGTTTATAATGACGTGCTTACTTTTACAATTTCAATTCAAGTGAACAATTAATAAAAAATCTGGCCAAGTGCGTGTCGGGCCACGCACAATGTAGAGGTAGGGTTCCGTAGTAGCGTTACAATATATACATTTAGAAGGACCTTTTTGATACTATGAGTATATCAAGTGAGTTCATGGGAGACTACGACACATCTGTTCGTCAGACGTACCTCAAAACAAGATTGTGCAACCGGTGCGTGTTGCCAGTGATGACTTATGGATCTAAGACGTGGTTATTCACTACGGGCCGTATGAGGAAGCTCAAGGTCGCTCAGCAAGCTATGGAGAGAGCTATGCTCAGGATTTATCTGCGTGATAGACTTCAAAATAAGGATATCCGCAGTAGAACCAGAGTAACTGACAAATCCCAAGGAATTAGTAAGCTGAAGTGGCAATGGGCCGGCCATATAGTTCGAAGAACCGACCATTGATGGGGAAGAAGAAGTTCTCCAGTGGCAGCCTCGTACCGATATGCGAGGTAAAGAGTGGTTCCGCACTAGATGGCGTGACGACCTGGTAAGAGATGCAGGAAGTTGGTGGATGCATGTGGCTCAGGACCGTGCTTTGTGGTTTCCTTGTTGGTGGTAATACTTAGGGGAGGCCTATGTTTAGCAGTAGACTTGTGAAGGCCTGTAATGATGATAATGATGATGATGAAGTGAGTTTGTGGTTTCACCGCTATAACAAATAAAAATAAGCCCAAATAGGACGGTGGTGACCGAAGGACTTATTTTTCAAGCAGACTTTCTCTACATGGTAGAGCCATGCTGCAGCTATATTATGGTTGTAGCAGGAATGGGTTGGCTCGACCGGGGAAGGACCTTGCTCTCACAGAAAACCAGCGTAAAATAGCAACTTAACGCTGCTGTGTTTCGCATGGTGAGTGTAGAGAACCGAAGACCCTTTTTTGGCAAAGAGGCATTTCATCTTAGTCCTCATGGGTGACAACTCATCTGCATCTTGAGTCTTTATTGAGGATAGATGTAGATGTCTATGAGTCACAGTAACCACTTACCATCAGGTGGACTGTGAGCTCGTTTGACACCCGATCCTATTAAAAAAAAAGACTTATAGAGAGTGGTATTCAAAAAATATTTAAAAATGAACATGCGTGAGTGTGGCGGAACATTTTCTTGGAACGTATTTCCTTTCGTAGTATATTATTATTGATAAACGTATTGTATTATTGATTAACAAGTACAAATAAATGAATTACTAGCGTCTATAAAAATGAAACGTCATTTAAAATAAAATAATATTTCTTTAATGGCAAGATAAAAAAAAGTACGGGGTAGATGGATATTATTCCATGTCGTTTCCTTGTAGCCGGCAAGGCCGTCTACACTACGTCAAAAGGGGTCGTGACGGAAAAATCTAATAAATCTAACACACTATTTGTCGCCTAGCCCCCATCCGCCAAAGTCAAACCGTCCAATAAGGAACTCCGTTTCAAAAACTTTTCGATTTTGAAAATAATACAATTTACATTAAATCATTCACATACCAAATCCGTACAAAAATGGTCATAGTTCAGTATCTATCTATTACTTCCCCACAGTGCAACCTAAGATATACATGATCGTAACGAACCTTCCCGAAAATCATCACAGCCCTAAATTATCCTGAAGGTCACCCGCGTAAACCAAGAATATCACGAATGAAAGGAGGTGAGGCCTACAACTAAAAAATAAATGAAAATTGTTATTCAGGATCGGTCTTTTGACAATTGATCCTCTCTGCCTACCCCACAAAGGAAAAAGTAAAGCTATAGCGTGTGCATAAGTCGTTTTCCTTAAAAATATGTTTAATTCTTACAGTTTACAATAACGTTAAAAAGTTATAATGCAGCTAGTTTTAGGTCATGGAATTTGTAGCACCTAGAGTCTCTAACTAAAACCGAAAAGGGATGGACGGACGGACGGTTCCTTGTTGTTTAACTACGGAACCCTAAAAATCGAGTACTTGATTCTTATGTTATGTATTTATTATTTATATATAAGCTGTCTTCCTCAAAGTCCGATAAATTTAATTGCGCATGCTCCTTTTTAATGATCGCAGTGCTTTTAGCAAACCTTGAAACTTGAAGTAGAGGGCGCAACGGTCGCATATCATCTTTCTCTTTCCTATTTTCTCTCTCACTTTCGCTCCTTTTGTGACATATTTGCGAAACGTCCATCGTGTTTTATCGTGAAAATTTTCCAAAAAATTACATTAGGGCATGGTCGATAAAGAAAATTACTTAAAAAACCGTGATATCAAATCTGTAGTTGTGGTTAAGTTTTCTCGTGCCAAGTGCAACTAAACTATCAAGATTCCGCCGATACTTCAAAGCCTACCCAGTGGGTGGCTTAATTTGGTAAGTTTCCTCATTCTAACATGTGATTAACATATTTCGTACTTAACAATTGGAATTCAAGTTATTGCTTAATGATACTTAGCTACTTAATATTGTTTTGGGAATAAATCTTACAAGTGCACTGATAAATATGAATGGCAATGTTCTTTTAAATCTTTGGAAAAAGCACGATATCCAGCTTCTAGTTACAGTATGTTCTGTGTTATGAAAATGGGATGTCTAGGACTACTTAACTGAATCACTACATTAACTGATTACGAAATTTACGTCACTATAGGATAGGAGTATACGTTTCGCGAGCAATATGTTTCCTACTCCATTATTCTAGAACATGCAAATGGTTGCCACCTGCCCAAATACTGATGAAAATCATGTACCTTATAATTTGAAATTTACTCATTATTAATTTCTCTTAAAGTAATATTATTAATTCTTAAGATAATGATCTAAAATAATTCTGGTTGCATAATTGTTTTTGAGCTCTGCTTGCTTCTTAGTACCTACTTAATGTATTCATTCATTCATTACAGCCCTTCACAAGTCCACTGCTGAACATAGGCCTCCCCCAAAGAATGCCACAAAGCACGGTCCTGAGCCACCTGCATCCATCGACTTCCTGCATATCTTACCAGGTCGTCACTCCATCTAGTGGGGGGACGCCCTACACTTCGCCTGCCGGTACGAGGCTGCCACTCGAGAACCTTTCTTCCCCATCGGTTGTCGGTTCTTCGAGCTATATGGCCGGCCCATTGCCACTTCAGCTTACTAATCCGTTGGGCTATGTCGGTCACTCTAGTTCTACTGCGGATAATGTATGATTCTTGATAATTGTAGGTATAACATATAATAACAATGTATAAGTTATGTATATATATGTATGTAATATATAAAATCTTATCAAAGTTAGTGAACTGATTTTTGTAATTTTCTTTTTAAACAATAGATCTAAATAAATTGTGATCAGAATTAACAATTCAATAACTGTCAATTTTTTTTTAGTAGGCATCGAATTTATAATAATCTGATATGTTGAACTACCGCTTATATATTTTAACATATTGATATTAATTTGTCTTTCATGTATGTATATAAGAGATACACATTAATGTTCTTATTATCTGTTATAATAATATTCATTTATCATTATTACATACATTACATTACTAACAATCTGCTCCTGCTTCCCAAGGTTGATTTCTGGATTTCGACAACTACTGGGTCCAATTGTGAATTTAAACCATTCTCTAATTAACTTAATCACACAAAATTTTATCAAAATTGGTCAAGCAATTTAGGATTTCAGTCACATACACATACACACAGTCAGAAAAATTGTGTAATATATAATATGCTTGTATTATATGTATAAACCTTCCTCTTGAATCATTCTGTCTATTAATGAAAATCACATCAAAATGCGTTACGTAGTTTAAAAGATCTAAGCATACAGATGGTGGAAAGCGATTTTGTTTTATACTATGTAGAGATTATTATTGTTTTATTAAGTATCTGGGTGACTAAGCTTTGCTCAGCAATTAAAAAACAATATAACTCAATCTAGATAAATTTGGAAAGTAAAAGAATAACCAAAATATAAAATTTCATCTAAACTGAGAGTTTTTTCTGAGAAACCATATATAATGACATACATACATATGTTCAATCGAATCATTCTTCACTTAAAATATAGAAAAAAATAAAAACTAAACTATCATTAACAACTGAAATAAATATTTTAAGTATACTTAGAAATGAAAAAGCGTGAATATAGGTTTTCTTTTTCAGTAAAGATGTTATTTTTTGCTTTATTATAAGTTAAAGACGAGTTAATGTTTAATTGCAATAATTTTCTTTTGTATTTTTATTTTCTTGCATGTAGTTATGAATTTTGTTTTCAAACACGCTTTTTCATTTCGTTATAGGTCTGAAGCCCAAAACATTAAAAACATGGAGAAGAAACGAGATTCTTTTTTTCTCCAAAATAAAAATCTCCATAGAAACAGTAAAATAACAAATGAAAAACCAAATAGTAAAAATAATAGAGATGGTGATTTTGATAAAAAGAACCATACAACATTCAAAAACAAAAAAGAAGATGAGGGCAAGAAAACATTTGATAAAAAGGCATATCGTTTGAAAAAATATAGCAAGAAATACAAGCTGGAACAATGGGAAGAAAAAAGAAAGAAGAAACTGCTTTATGATTATCATAAAAGCATTAAAAATGACCCTTTGCTTGGATCATACAAACCAAAATCTTTTGATGAAGATAATGTTGATTCCAATGACCCAAACATTGGTAAGTTTGTAAGACATCCTGATTTAATTAAGGAAGCACATAAAACTAAGAAAGATCCCTTCCAGAAGGCAAAAGAACATTATGAAAAGATCAAGCAAGAAAAAGTGGAGAAGCAACGAGAATTAGAAAAATCTAGACTGGAAAAGGCACAGAAGATCGAAGAGTATAAGAAGAAGAAACAAGAGAGGTTTAAGAAATTGAGCAAAAAGACAAAGAAAGGCCAACCAGTGATGACTGGTAGGTTAGAATTGCTGTTGGAGAAAATTCAAAATGATTAGGTTAAGAATTTGTACAAGAGCCATACATTTTGTATTTTTTATCTTATTGGTTTACTAAAATACATACAATATCAGAAAGGTTGAATTTTGTAAAATAAAAATTAAGATAATATGAGATTTTATATATAAATTGAAATGTATCAAAGCCAGGAGCTATAGACCATTACTTAACTCTGTTCTCATATTAACTCATTGGAAAAAAAACTTTTTATCATATTGTCATTATTATATAATGTACTCCAGAGCATATTATATAATTTTTATTCATATATTATTTTTTTAATTAATATTTCAAATTAACTTACAGTTTAGCTGTTGGTAAGTGTTTATTGCACCCCACGGACACCTGCCACTAACTTCAAAAAATGATTGCTTTACATTATCACTTCTATGGATTAAAATGGAATATCTCACAGGTTGTAATTATAATCACTCTCTCTGGAACTCTGCACTCACTGTTGCTTGGGGCAGTAGGCAAAAGGCTGGTAACTGTTAATAGCCCAGACAGACTCTAGAGGCACAGGAGTCTTAAATATAAATAATATACAGTGGACCCCCGGTAATCCAGCCTCTGTCTAATCCGGCGCCCCCTGTAATCCGACATGGTCTATTGTTTATTATTAGATATTTTTTGACAACAAAAAATGGATGAATATTTTTATGCTTCTTAAATTAATTGATTCATAATTTTTGATTATTTTAGTATGTACATTTGTTTGTACACAATTATTTCCTAATGTAACATTATTGCATATTTTTGTAAGTTCTATAGCATTAATGACGTTAATTTTATAATAAAATGTAAGCTCCCTATTGTGTTGTATAATTTACTAAATTTGACATACATAATGAACTATAATTTGTACTTCAGAGTACATATATAACATTAGAATCTTATCATTGGATCTGGAATTTGTCGGATTATAAGGTACTCTTTTATAAAAAATTCCGGACTAGGCAGTACTCTATAATCCGACAAATTCGATAGTCCGACACTGCCCTGCAAAATGTTTGTCGGATTACCGGTGGTCCATTGTATGCCTCTTTATAGATTTATTTTAATATAATAAATCCTTTTAGTTTTCCCATGTTATCAATTTACAGTAGTAAACGTAATGTCACATCTTCATTATAATATTAGAAAAAATTATTTTTCATGTTCCCTCTTAGATTTATGATTAAAAAATGTATGCAAAATCGTCGCAAATTTTATAAGTGTATGATTATATATCTTAGATCAAATAATATTTAGATAGTATTGTGGGCAAATAAATTTGGAAAAGAAATACTGGCCAATTGCCACACATTAGCATACTGCAAATTACTGGCAGGGCTTCCCTAGCTTGCCTACAAGTCTTCTAGATTTTTCTAAAGCTGAGCATGTTGATTGATATTGATTAGTGAAGTGCTTACATACCAGTGACCAAATGTTATTAAAAAGAATTAGTATGATCGGTTCCGGCCCTGATCACCAGATCTGATCTTTCCCTGGCCAATTCATCTGCTGCGTCGTTGCCCCTGGATCCACTGTGTCCCTTGATGCATTGTAGAGTTACATTGTTGTATTTATATACGTCATTTAGTTGTTGATGGTAATCATATATTAGCACCAAGTTGTTCACATTGCAACTCAGCGTAGTACTGCCATCTTTCGGTCAGTATTCTGATGGAGAATTCCTTTACCTTTCAGGCATCTATTGCCAAGGCCGCTTGAATAATACTTTTAACCTGAAAGACTGTGTTGTGAGTACCCACCTTTGTTCATATGTGGATGAATTGCCATTTTGAAAACTCTTGTTTTTGGACCAATTCTTTTAAAATATATATCTTGGAGTTGTCTATGAAAGTGAATTTGTGGTCTATGAAAGTAAATTTGTTGTGAAGACTGTAACAAGTAGCTGCCATTTTTAATAATTCTTGTTTAGTGACTGAATGATTCTAAAATCAATATTGGTATTGTCATAATATAATATCTAACAATATATGATCAGATTATATATGATATATATTTATTAAATTTAATTAAATTCTTTATTGGCAGTGACCAGGATCAAACTAGAATAGCTGATCCCCTTAACACCATGGCTCTTCAATATGTCATTATGCATTACAATCATTGACAATACTAGAAACATCAATTTCTAGGGCATTCTCAAGAGCTTCATTTCTCGCTTTGCTTTTGCTGATAAAACAACAATTCTTTTGTTCAATGTTTATGAGGTTGTCAATGCCGTTGGTTAATATGAAACATTCAAAATTAAATTACCGTAGTCTTTAAATGTTTTTCGCTTTTTATGATTAATAAGTAACAAGTATAAAACTGCTTGTGCTCGTGTAAACTGGAGTATCCGAATTTTAACTTTAATTCACTATTTAATTTTTAAAAGTGTCGGTCACTCAGTCAGCAAATTCGCTAACTGTTTAGAATTTGTATTAATTTATTCTGCTTAGAGTTATCAATCAACATAGATTCGATTATAGAATAGCACTTATCCAATTCGTGAGTATTTCTGGTTATATAAACACTCATTTCTGTAGTTGTAAAAACTTTTTTTCTTGAAATAATAAGCGCAAGAAATTTGTCCTGTATCATGAAGCTAATTTTGATAATTCGATAATTCTGCAACCTACAACACCTGTGTAAGGCCTGATTGGAGATTGTCGAGGTAGTAAAGTAGCCTCTCTACATTTTTGTTCACCGTTGGGCTTTTGGCAAATCAGCACTTAATATTGTAATCCACAATATCGGTATTGCCAGCCGGAATCGAACTCAGGTTGTTCAATTCCCGCTGGCAATACTAATTAAGAAACATTTTATAATAGTTCAGCTCCACCTGGAAGGACCAAACTTGTACAAAACAGCTGCATTATACATGCAGCTGTTTTGTACAAGCTGCATAATAACAGAAAAATACTGCTAGTTTGAGAAGTGGCGAATACCGGAGACACGTTTTGAAGGCTACCGTACAGACTGACAGACAGATAAACAGACAAAAATTTAAAAAATGATTACTCATGTCTAATGGCATGCAAATAACCTCTTCAGCTCAATAAATTGCAGTTATTTTAACACTCATTGTCCGGTTTTCAGACACAATTGTAAGCCAATAGCAATGACCTATATGTACTGCATGGGACAGCGAAAGGGTTAATATATATCTGTAATATACTATCTGTATTAGACACTTCAATTTTATTTATATGTATAATTTAAGTAGACTCAATCGACAACTTTTTTCCTGGTGTATTGAAATCTAGCAGTATGGTCTAGACTCTTAAAATCAGGTCATGGTAATCGTATCCGGGGTGACAAAGCGTCTGCATTTTGATTTTTAATTAAAAATATATGCAGGTGTTAATAGGCCACAACATCATCTTACTATCAGTTACTCTGTGTGTTTGGTTATATACCCATACTTTCATAAAAAATAAGATTAGGACGCAAACCCCAAACCTTAAGCCAGGTTCCCTTTAAAAAGTAGGTATAGTTTTAATGGCAAATGCAAGCACTTTATGTTATCTGTATAATATATACAATTAAATATGCCATCATTTACTATCCGCAAAATTTAAATAATTAGTAACCTTACGTAAATGTTCTAACCTAAACAAAACTTTGACCTTTGTTATCGTTTGGCGCCATTTTCAAAATTACACTGGCCAGTCGCGTGATGATATTTTATATTCTGTGGCATGACCTATTCTGATATATAAAATCAAAGTTCAAATAGTATCATTGCCTGTTTAACATTTGTATTACAAGAACACAATATAAACTCATTTTTTGTAATCATAATTAGAATACAAGCAATATTAAAATATGGGACGCCGGACGCAATTTTTGTTTCGGAGCTGTTAGTATGGAGGAATAATTAACAGCGCATAGATTATAAAAATAACCATACTCTTATGAGTTTTAATTTTTCTTTACAGCCAATAAAAAGTTCACAGGTTAGATTGCCTTATGTGATATTTGCCACAGTAGTCACGCTTGGCAGGCGGATTGGCAACAAGTGTTTATTATTATTTTGAACTTTTATCAGAAAGATCTTGTTGTGCATCTCTTGTTTGATTTCCCTCTGTCTCCTCTTACGGGTGATATCGGGTAAAGGGAATGCAAAAATTATTTACATTAAAAAATGTTTCGCCATTTCATATCCATTATTTCGAAAATTATTCATTAGGTACCTATTTCTTCAAGAAACGAGCTTACTTGTTTTAATAGGCTGGCAAAACACCTGCATTTCCTCTGGTCTTGGTGAGTCGTATGGTAGTTGGCTCCTTCCTCAATAAAGATAACGGTAGTAGATTTAAAAACGAAATTTTATTTTATTAGTCGTATATATTATATGTATATATATATATACATATATATATATATATATATTATATATTATTTTATATCATTTATTCATTCTATATTTAAATAGAAGTCCACTGCTAATAATAGGCCTCACCCATAGATTGCGTCATGGGGTTAGCGTTATGGCAAGCGGCGTGGCAACCACGGTTTTTAGGGTTCCGTACCTTAAAAAGAAAAAACGTAACCCTTATAGGATCACTTTATTGTCCGTATGTATGTCTGTCAAGACCTTTTTTCTCAGGAACGCGTGGAGATATAAAGCTGAAATTTTTTCAAATACTCAAGTCTACTGTCCCTTGGAGCTGTGAAAAAATTAAGCTTCTAAGCCCACGCAATCAAAAGATACAGCCGTTTATGCCGCAAATTTTCGACATTCGTAAGGGAATCAATACCTACAGGGTACTTCCCGTGAACTCAGAATCTTAAAATTTGGTACGAAGCAACGTATTATAGCACAGACAAAGGGAAAATTGCGAAAAGCATAAATTTTTAGTTACATCATATAATAAAAATATATTTAATAACTTTAAACTTATATACCTACGGATTTGTTCGGAACCCTCGGTGCGCGAGTCCGACTCGCACTTGGCCGGTTTTTTTATTTTTGGTAGTTTTTAAGAAGACGCTGCACATCTAC